TCGGAGCTGGAAGCGTTGCTATATGTGTCCAGTACCTCTCAGGCAGGGCAAGGTTGTCACTCGCATACTCGACCCAATCTGGACCATCCTATGTCCTCAGCAGTACAGCTTCCAAGCATAAGTATGGTGCATCTTTACAGAATTTCCTTCGACTTCTCTAGATACGACGCCGCCGACATGACACCACATGCTCACAAGATCGTCTTTTGCCCATTGACTGTAGGAAATTTGGCGAGTAGCACATCTATTCCTCGGTCCAGCGTGCATGGGGCCATACTCAGGAAAGACCGGAGTACTCGACAAAGGCATCTCTGATAGCTGAAGTGTTAGCTTCAAGGTCACCTGGCTGAGTAGCGAATACAACCTAAGGTGACGAGCCGAAGGTATCATAATCCCGATCTCAGAGCACATGCAGGCGTCTTCCAGTTGTACCAACGGCCATTTCCTACGTGCACCCTGCCACAGTGAAGCGTATGCGCACGTAGCATAAAAGTCGGTATCTCGTCCGGAAGCCATCTCTCCGCCCAGCGCCTCATCTTTTACTTCTCAAAGTTGCTCCTATGGCCGGTCAATCACTCTTTCCCCCTCACGTTATGTCAACCGCATCTCGAAATTTTCTTTCGAGTTTGCATACGGGCTCTGTCATGACACAGACTTTCGGCACGGACTCTACCCTCGAGCGCGTTCATCGCCTCGTATCTTCTGCTTACGCCCACAACGTTCTCTACGAGACCTTTCTGAGCTGCTCCACTATACGGACGTACCAGGTTCCCGGAGCACATCATGGCTTGGTCATCTTCTTTGCCTACCAGGAGCTCAACGTTCATCCGACCGACAAATTGTGGATAAATACGGCGCATCTTGGGCTTCCAGCGCCATATTGTATCGTCGACATCATCGTTGAGAATCCCACGCGTGTGGTTCCATCGCGGTTGTTTATACCATACGAAGGAACCCATCGCAGCGAGGTTGCACTTCAGCAGACCGATATGCTCCCCCTCTTCTTTGTAAGAAGCGATGGCGGCGTAGGCATTCGCGTCGATGATGCTAGCATGCGCCTTGATGTCCTTCCCGATGGTCCCACTCGAATTCATGCGCATTCTCTCAAGGTCGTCTTGCATGTAAGGGGAGCACACCCATTCCGCACGAGTACTTACTCATGGCATCACATAGCTCGTCAACTATGAACTAGACGAGCGACAGATCCAACTTCGCACCTCACCGCTGGCTCCTAATATATCGATTCGACGCCTCGCACGCTTGATCGCGTCTAAGGTTCGGTGTTTTCTGAAGGTGATCATGCACGCACGACGAATTAGGTTAGCCAGCAAGCTGACCCATCCACAGAAGGCGGAGCGAGATAACGCTACATTGGCTCGCTGGGAGGATCCCCGTTGGAAAATCGGGTCCGGTGTTGGGTGCATTGGCGCTGAAGACGTCATGCTGCTCGGAATCGTTTTCGTTAGCCCGGGCAAGGTTACCCCTCTACTTCGAGTGCGAGACGATTATGGTGAGTCGTTAGGCTGTAAAGCTCCATGCTTGGACTGAAGAGATTAGTCTTCACGATATAGCTAGCTGCGAGCACTACCCTCGAGGAGCCTTACATCGGACAATGTTACCTTTTCGAGCTGCGGAGCAGCGCCCAGTCACTCATTTCTCATACCTTCCCCTCTCACTATAATAGGCATGTTCTCGATGAGCGCCACATGACCCGGCAAAGATATATTTCTCTCTCTAGTGATGAATTTGAATAATGTTCATCGTTTGTGATTATGAATGCATGTTTGGAACGGGTAAACACACGATTCTTCGGTCCCAAATTGGTTCATAGGGGTTCTCGTGATCGAATCGTGTTGGTAGAACAGTGAGGACACCACGGATAGCGGGTCGCTGCAGCTGCTGTGCTTGGACACCAGTGGTCGCAGAAGGGCTTTGTCGCTATCACATCCCCTACGTCGACCAACTACCAGCTCCGCCAGCTATCATACGCAGCATGAGATATCCAAATCTCGCTGTGCAGTTTTGATTGACTGGAAACCATTCGAAGGGGCAATATGGGCGAGATGGTGGCGGGAAGAGAGCGACGCGTGCGGGACCGATTTGGCACCGCGGGCGCGGCCACGTTTCGCATCTGTCCGCGCAGCACTGCGCGTCAGATTCGCGCGCGTAGGGTTCGTTCGTAACCTCTCTCCTGCTCTCACCAGCACTCGTCTCGCTATCCAGATGTGCACCTGCTCTCGACTCTAACCACTTATCTGTACTTGCATTGGACTTATCTGGCTTAGCTAACTCATCTGGGAGAAACTGTACACTTTCACGCGCCGACGCGCGTCTCCAAATATCATCTGAACCATGGCGCACGCTCGCGCATTATGGATTTCTTTGGCTCTCCTTCTGATATCTCTGGTATGCGTGCGGGCGCAGGAGCCAGTGGTCACTCTCAATCGCTTCCACAACTTGCCCGCTGCCCTCCTCTCGCTCGATGACACTACGGTACGTGCGCAGTCGCTTAGGCGTCTACGCGGAGTACTGACTGCGCCCGTGACCAGACTGCTATGTACCACGACATCATCGAAGGGAACATATACGTGTCGCAAGATGAGGGAAAGAGCTGGGAACGCGCCAACGGCGTTCCTCCGGGACAGGCTCTCATGTTCTTCGAACACCCATTTTACAACCGGATGGTGAGTTCTTACTATCATACGTGCAATGCGTCTGTCATTGCCACACTGGAGTATATGTGGAGGTGTGACCTACGGGTTACATGTCGGCGTGATGAGCGCACCCGGGCGAGTGACCGGACTTTGGCGCCACAGCCCATCACACTGGGAACCAGACGCGAATGTCCGCCTTTGGTACCTCTTCTCCCTGAGGCTTGCTCCTCTTCTCTGAATCGAGCAGCCTTGGTCCTCTTTCTGGCATACGTGTCGTCGTTTCTGTGTTTCACCATATTACCCGCATATCTTGATCATCACTCTGAGCTGTTGCTGATGAACACCATTCTAGGCCTTTGCGCTCACCAAGGGAACGACGCACTACCTTACCGCGGACCGCGGCAAGACGTGGCGACCGTTCAAAGTGCCTATCCCGCCAGCATTTGTCACACGACCGCTCTCCTTCCACTCCGACAAGGAGAAGTACGATCACATCCTCTACCAGGGCACCAACTGCGAACGCTCGGGATGGGGCGCCGTTTGCCACGACGAGACGTACTACACCATCAACGCGTTCGCCGACGTAAAGCTCATGCTCTCCGAGACGAGCCTGTGTCAGTTCGCGCACTCGTCTGCCGACTTCAAGCACAATGCGCACGAGAACCTCGTTTACTGCGTTGCGTTTGACACCAGCAGCACCAGCGGCCATCACTCCCTCTCCTCCTCCCGCCTTTTCTCTTCCACGGACTTCTTTGAGAAGGAGAACAAGGTCGAGGATCTGGGCATTGGAAAGAACGCTCGCGGCGTTGTCGCACTCGCCATAGTCTCTAAGTTCGCCGTTGTAGCGCTCAAAGACGTGACTGGCGCAGGCGACATGTTGCTGTACGCGACTGTGGACACGGTGAACTGGGCCAAGGCGCAGTTCCCACAAACCAGCTCTGCGCGCCTTCGCGAGAACGGATACACGATCGTGGAGAGCACTACGCATAGTCTGGCGGTCGATGTTATGCTGGGCGAGCAGGGCGCCGTTGGCACCATGTTCGTAAGCAACAGCAACGGGACATTCTTCGTCGAAAGTCTGAAGGACACGAACCGGAACGAGATGGGCTTTGTGGACTTCGAGACGCTCGTAGGCATTGAGGGTGTAGGAATTGCGAACGTTGTCGCGAATGCGCAGGATGTTGAGGGTCGAGGCGCGTCCAAGAGGTTGAGGAGCATGATCACGTACGACGATGGATCAAGCTGGAGTACACTTCGTGCGCCGTCTACGGATAGCGAGGGAAAGCGCATTGGGTGCGACCCCGCAGACGCGGATGTCTGCGCGTTGCACCTCCACTCCGTCACCATGCCGCATAACTTCGGGCGGGTATTCAGCTCTACGGCGCCTGGTCTTGTTATGGGCGTTGGAAATGTGGGCGAGTACCTCAAGCCGTACGAGGAGTGCGATACCTTCCTGTCCACCGACGCTGGTATCACTTGGAAGATGGTCAGGCGGGACGCGCACATTTACGAGTTCGGCGACAAAGGCTCTGTCATTGTCGCAGTGAACGACGAGGAGCCTGTCGATGCCGTGCGCTACAGCACTGACATGGGCAAGAGTTGGAAGAGCGCCAAGTTGCCGACGAAGATCAGGGCGAGGGCGTTGACGACCGTGCCGGACAGCACGAGTCAGAAGTTCATGCTTCTTGGGCAGCTAGGAAGGGGTGATGCAGATGATAGTGGGCGCTATGTTGTTGCCCATCTGGACTTTGCGCCGGTGAGGGGACGGCAGTGCGGAGAGGATGACTTCGAGAAGTGGTACGCGAGGAGTAAGGATCACTCGTGTCTTATGGGCCATAAGGTGCGTGTTACTTGACATTGAGCACATGGAGGTGACTAAACTGTCCTATAGCAATGGTACAAGAGGCGCAAGCCGGACGCGGACTGCTATGTTGGGAAGAAGTTCGAAGACCCGGTGGAGCATGAGGAGAGTTGTCCTTGCGTCGACTCGGACTTTGAGTGGTACGTCGATATTCTGATATCCCATCGCCGCTGCTCATGTACTTCATAGCGACTATAACTTCGTACGCCACAACGACCAATGCGTGCCTGTCGGCCCCGAACCCATCCCGGCGGGCGTGTGTCCCGACAAGAACTCGAAGTTCATGGGCTCCTCCGGCTTCCGCCTCATCCCAGGTAACACCTGCGACCGCGACCGCGGCGTGAAGAAAGACGAAAAGGTCGAGAAGAGCTGCGCGAATGCGGCGCCGGAGGAAGGATCAGTTATCCATCAGACGTTCGACTTCCCGTCCCGCATCGTCCAGCACGCATACTTCAAGGATGAGAAGACAACGATTCTTGTGCGCCTCGACAGCGGTGATATCTACCAAAGTCAGAACGAGGGCTACACCTGGAACCAGATTCAACCAGGCAACAGGTTCCTCGCGTTCTACCATCACTCGTTCACGCACGACCGCGCTTACCTCATCACGGCTGGCAAGGAGTACTATTATACCACCGATACAGGCCGCAATTGGAATCCGCTCAACGCTCCAACACCGCCAAACACGTTTGGCGCACAGGTCTTACGCTTCCATCCCGAGAACAGCGACTACTTGATCTGGGTCGGTAACGAAGGCTGCGATGGCATGCAGAAGGACTGCCGTGCTGTGGCGCACTACAGTCGCGATAACGGCCGAAAGTGGTACAAGGTCGAGGACTACGTCCGCAACTGCGCTTGGGCCCGCGATTCGGCATTCCGCGTCGATCCTAGCGAGATCATCTGCGAAAGTTACAGGGACAAGAAGGGCAACCAGCGATTCTTCAACCCCGGCAATAACGCGCTCGAGCTTTGGACTGGACCGACATTCTACGCTAATAAGCACCGCGTATTCGAGCATGTCGTCGGCTTCACCAAGTTCTCGGAGTACCTCATCGTCGCAGAATATCAGCCCGAGCACGGCAACCTCGATCTGCAAGTTTCGCTCGACGGTCTTCGGTTCTCCGCTGGCCAATTCCCACCATCGATGCGCCCGGACTCGCAACACGCGTACACAATCCTGGAGAGCAGCACCGATAGCGTATTTCTCCATATGACGACACAGGAGCCGCCTGGTCCCGCATGGGGCACGATCCTGAAGAGTAACTCCAACGGGACGTACTACGGTGTTAGCATCCAAAATGTGAACCGGGACGAGCGGGGATACGTTGATTTCGAGAAGATGATCGGGTTGGATGGTATCGCGCTCATCAACGTCGTCACGAACCCTGATACAGCGAAGGTTGAGGGGAAGAAGGTCCTTCAGACTAGGATATCGCATAACGATGGAGGTTCTTGGAAGGCGCTTAGTCCGCCTTTGAAGGATAGTCATGGGAACGATTACCCGTGCAACTACGTTGGGTGCACCCTGAACCTGCATGGGTATACCGAGCGCTACGATCCCCGCGCGACATTCAGCACGCCAAGTGTGGTCGGCCTTATCATGGCGGTCGGATCGGTCGGCGAGCAGCTATCGCCGTACACTGAGAGCGATACGTTCCTCAGCCGCGACGCGGGTTTCACGTGGGAAGAGGTCCACAAGGACGCGCACCTGTGGGAGTTTGGCGATTCGGGAAGTGTGCTGGTCATGGTCAACGACGAGGGCCCGACGGATACGGTGCTATACACCACCAACGAGGGCCTGGAGTGGCAGGAGTACCGTTTCACCGACGAGAAGATCCGCGTAAGGTCCATTGTCACGGTTCCGAGCGATACAAGCCGGCGCTTTATTCTGCTTGGAGAGAAGAGTGGAACGAAGGGCACGACTGCCATCCATCTGGACTTCAGCGCGCTCACGACGCAGAAGTGTATGTCTTACGTTGTATGGGCCGGGATTGGTACTTATGGGTCCATCAGGTGTCCTCGACATCGAGAATCCCGGTGACGATGACTTCGAGCTTTGGAGTCCCAGCGAAGAGCGTGAAGAGCGCTGTCTCTTTGGCCGTCAGGTGCGTTCGAAATCCTTTGGCCCTTCAGTACATCACTCATACCGCCACACAGACTCTGTATCACCGTCGTAGGAGAGACCGCAATTGCGTGGTCGGCAATCAGCCCAAGGCGACGGAGAAGATCGTGAAAGATTGCACCTGCCTCGAGACTGACTTCGAGTGGTAAGCACTGAACTCATTTAGCCGCAGGCGTATGCTGACTTCGGTGACTGTAGCGAGTTCAACCACGAGCGTAACGAAGAGGGCAAATGCGTGCTGGTTCCAGGACTCTCGCCGCTACCAGACGATACCACCTGCCAACCCGATACCGATTCGTGGTTCGAGCGCACGGCGTACCGGCGCATCCCGCACTCATCGTGCAAGGAGGGTGTGCGTCTTGACCGCGGCAAAGAACACACATGCCCTGGCTTGCGTGGACATGGATTCTTCTTCTGGCTGTTCATGCTCATGCTGCCCTTCGCCTTTGTCGCGCTCGGCGTCACTTGGTGGTACCGTCGCAGCGGCATGGCAACTGGGTACGTCTCATTCTTACGTCGTCCTATACCCATTACTGATACACTGCCCACAGAACGATTCGTCTACCCGGAGGTGGCGATTCGCGCCCGCGCGGTTTCAGCTCAGAGGCCGGCTTCATGGACAACCTCACGTCTGTACCTTGGTACGTCGTGGGTATGGTGGGTATCGCATGGGAGAAAGTTGCGGATACGGTCGATGGCTGGACAGCGCGGTTCCGCCATCGGACTGGATATGGGTACCGACACGTACCAGTCGACGCGGATGCGCAGGTCTTACGGTTCGAGGATGAGGAAGAGTAGTGTACTACTTGGTCGCACGGACTGTAATTATTTCATGGAAAAGGATGGCTACTGTCGTGTACATAGTATCGGCGCATACAAGGGACAACTGTTGTTCGTGATTCATATTCCAAGCAAAAGCGTGAACACGGCCGCAAAACGGGTATATTGCTATCGTAATCTTACTTGTCCGAGGAAAAGAGAGGCGGTCTCGATAATGGCCCGTGTGGGGATCGAACCCAAGACCTTCGCGTTATTAGCACGACGCTCTAACCAGCTGAGCTAACAGGCCAATGAACTGGATATTACTTCAAAATCTCATAAAGCGTATATCTCATCTCTGTCCCGAGTCCGTCGCGGCGGTCGCGCGCACTTGGACTGGACCACCAAGCTATGGATCACCTCGACCGATATCCTGAGCAGAGAGCCCAGCTGGTATCTGCTGCGATAGCAGGCGCCGTCATGCTCGATGTTATGCTCGGTGATTAGACACTCTGACCTTCGTCCCATCAGCAAAACAACATGCCTACGACGTCCATTCCCAATTCCGTGTGGGGGCTTCAGTCCTGTCTACGAGCGGCGAGATTGTATCCGGGGCAAGCATAGATAATGCTGCCTATGGTGAATCTATGATCAGCATATCACTTGTGTACAAGCATCTCATCGTTGTTGACCCGAAGGTGCTTCCCTTTGTGCTGAAAGATCGGCTTTAGCAAAGGCCGTGGTGAGCTTCCGGTCCATTTTGATGCTTCCATCTCAATGACAGATCGCACATGCTAGAGCGACGGCCTCCGAGCCTTTGTTGCGCTGGCCATCACGAGGTACGTCAAGGTGTTCAGGGTTTGCAGCCCTCAATTTCAGAGGGCGGGGCAGTCGGCGAAGCACGATCTGGGGTGCTAATGATAGATCCAGCGACGTGGATGCGCCTCTTCCACCGTGTGGCTTATGTCGACAAGTCATTCGAGAATTCTGTTCGCCCGATGTTCCAATCCTCCTCGTACCGGCAGGTCATCGTCCGGGCCCCAGCCGTGACGATATCGTCACTATGAGAGTCAAGGATCTGTTGCCTAGCGCCCAAGATTCCGCTCTCAGTGCGGTAGGCCGGGGTACTTTCTAATCTCAGATCCTCTATCGCTATGCTCAACATCGTGTTCCGGTCGCCGCCCTATGTCACCCATCGTTGATTGATGCTACTCTGACTCTATTCCGTAAACCCATCATGCGATAGAGAGTTGATGGTGGCGAATGCAGGAAGGCTCGGAAGGCTCGGAGAACGCGTCGTCGTTCACACCGCCGCGCTGTGCTGCCCACACCAGCTGCAACAACCAGCATCATCCGACGAAGCTCGTTGCCGGGCGCTCTGTTCTACTAACGGAAGTCATGTGTACGGGTTGAAATGACGCTCCACTCGCTTATGACTTCCGTTCCGGTTTGATCAGCCCTCCGACAGGTGCCCATGCGTCACCCTGCATTCGCAAGTTCACGCTATGGGCTCGAGCGCTCACCGCCATGATCATCGCGCATTGTACTAGGAAAACGGGGTAGCCTGTGTCTTGTGCTACACATCCGTATCTCGACCTCCGACCACGATGGACGTTGTCAAGGCCATACGGTACAGCTTCGCGGGTTCGGCTATCGCAGTTCGGCTATGAAGTGTTCTACGGCTATATAAGTCTCTTGAAGATGTGAACTCTACTTCTCCAGTGGTCCTCGGTCACTAGTCAGCGGTCCTCACTTTCTTTCCAGCCTACCGGTCCTTGCCCGCCATGCACTTCTCTACCGCCACCGTCATCGCTGCACTTCCCTTCCTCGTCGCTGCTCTCCCGTCCCCGGCACCCAAGAACGGGATTGCTGTTGACTTGGCCAAGCGCTCCGGCTCCCGTCGCGCTGACGGCACCGTCGACCCTGCGAAGCTCAAGGCCAACATCAAGGCATCCGTTGCGTTAGTCTTCACCATCTCTCCTGATGTCCTATCGAACCCGATGCTGACGCCCTCCACAGCAAGATCCAGCGCGGTCTCGCGAACTATGAGCGCAACACCGGCAATACCCACCCGCTCGCAAAGTCGTTCAAGAGCACGCAGAAGCGCGACACCGGCGCCGACCCTCTGACCGACGTTTCGGCCGAGCTCTGGTACGGCACGATCTCCGTCGGCACTCCCTCGACCGACTACACTGTCGACTTTGATACCGGCTCCAGCGACCTCTTCCTCCCCGGCTCGGACTGCGGCTCGACGTGCTCGGGTCACACACTCTACGACCCCAGCTCCAGCTCGACGTCGGAGGATGTTGGCAAGGACTTCTCGCTCCAGTACGGTGATGGCTCGACCGTCTCAGGCGAGCAGTACACCGATACTGTCACTATTGCTGGCCTCACTGCCGACAAGCAGACGCTTGGCGCCGCGAAGCAGTACTCCTCCGGCTTCGAGAGCTCGCAGTTCCCTGCTGACGGTTTGAGTACGTCTCAGTCCAGCTTTCTTTCATACGCTCTGTTCTGACAAGCGTACAGTGGGCATGGGTTTCAAGTCGATCTCCGACTACAACGCCGACCCCGTCTTCCAGACTCTCGTCTCGAGCGGTGCCGTCACTGACTCCGTCTTCGGCTTCAAGCTCTCCGACTCTGGCGCCGAGCTATACCTCGGTGGCACAAACGACGACCTCGTTGGCGGCGACTTCACCTACGTTCCCGTCACCCAGGAGGGTTACTGGCAGGTCGACATGGACGGCTTCAGCGTTGGCGGCTCACAGGCCGTCTCCTCCACCAGCGCGATCATCGACACCGGAACCACGCTCATTGTTGGCGACTCGCAGTCCGTTGCCAGCGCGTATGAGAGCATCTCGGGCGCTCAGGACAACGGCGATGGCACCTACACCGTCGACTGCGACCTTGATACCGACATCAGCATCACCTTCGGCGGGCAGGACTTCACTATCTCCCCATCTACGTTCGCGCTTGACGCTGGCAACGGTCAGTGCATCGGCGGCCTCTCGTACGAGGACAGCATTGCGAGCGAGTTCTGGATCGTTGGCGACGTCTTCCTTCAGAATGGTAAGCGGTCATCGCTCTCTAAGACAGCGAATCGTTTGCTTACTGTTGCTCTTAGTGTACACCGCATTCGATGTCGGCAAAAGCCAGGTCGGCTTCGCCACTCTCTCATGAGCGTGAGGACGTGTATCACTTTTGACTGCTTCATGACCATCATCACCCTACCCTGTAACCTATTTGTGTGCGCTTGCTCCTTCATCCCGGACTTGCTCGCCTGTGTACGTGCCGTGTACCAAAGCCACTGTCACTGTACATCCACTCGCTTACATCGTGCCACATATACCATTCAGTTTGGGTTTTCGACTTCGCGCGAGAGACAAGCCGTGTACGAATGACTAGGAGAGTCGAGTAAACGGTACACATGGTTTAGTGGACTGCACTAGTGGTCGGGCGCACGGCTCATCGAAGCCTTCCTGTCATCAATCGTGAGCATGAGGCTCGCATGCTCGGGCCGAAAGTATGCAGTCGCGCGCCGGCTCGCGGCTCGATCTCCCACCGCCATCATCTCCGGTCTTCGATGAACAAGCGTCATCAACGTTCAATATCACACACTCCATTGCTATATCTACGCCAGGCGCCATATCGCTAGTGTCCCAATACGCTTTTGGCTTGCTCACCCGTCACTTCCGGCGCGAACGATGTCTTTAGCACCCGTCCTTCTCCGGAACACCATTGGCACGAGTCTACATACCCGAATTGCGTCGACTACGCAGCCTCTGCGCTTCCTGCCTCATTTCCTATCATTGCATCGGTTTGGTGCACTACGCCACTCGAGCGACAGTCCGAGTCACGCCGCACCTCGCCGAACTCCAAGGTGAATCCAACGAGTGCGAGTTGATTCATACCGCGACCCGGCTACTCGATAACCCACAACCGAGGCTGATACGTCGCCTTTTGCGCAGATCCATCAGTACACAGCGGAACTACAAACCTCACCGCTCGGGGCGCAGCTGTACCTGTGGACGGCAACTCTCCAGCGAGTGGTACATAGACCGGGAGAGCGACGGGCAACCGATATGTGCGTTGAAACTCTCTTGCGCGGCGCTCCACTGTGATCGAACATTCGACCTAATGCGACTCTTAGGTTCTTCGTGTTATGCCCATCTCAGGGTATGTCTCACCATATCTTGCTCAGAGAAATTGTCCACCCACGACGATGACCGTCGACCTCGATTGTAGGCTCAGAAGCGCAACCTCAGTGATGCGACCTCCTGCGCAGATTGCGGGGCCACGTCCAGTCTCCGCTGGTACACCCATCCAGTCGCGGGAAAAGCATCCAGATGTACGTGCGTCTTAAACCCCGGCTCGTATACATGGTTCACTGATGCAGATACAAACACCAAGGCGATAGATGCTATCGACGCACCAAAGTGAGCAACGATATTCAGCTCGCATTCAAGTCCCCGAGCGGTCCGTCACGCGTTCATTCTTTCTCTAATCCTGCCGGTCGTGCCGCCTCTCTTTTTGATAGATCGCGCAGTTTGAGGCGATGAGCGATATGACCTGCAAGGACTGTGGGACGCAGCGCTCGACGTGGTGGACTCCAGATCTCCGGAGCCGTGACGGCTCATACAGATGTACGTCGCATTCCCGCCAGTTCACACGAAGATATGCACTCTGAACTTGTCCTGACGCTGGTACGCCCATATAGGCAATAAATGCTACCAACGGCACTCCGTGAGTCCTCGAGTTCGAGACGCATCCAAAGTCGCGCGGGCTCAATCTGCGCCGGAATAACGTAGGCGAAGCAAGCCGTGTTCCCGGGCAGGAGCTGCGCCGATTGTGGAACACAGAGGTCCAGGTGGAGGTGGTACAGGCATCCCTCCATCGAGGGCGCATACTGCTGTAAGTTCTCGCCAGTATTCTCGAAATCATCTCCCGCGACCGAAACTTACTGATCGTTTGCGTCGATGAAACAGGCCACAGTTGCGGGCAACGACGTTAGAAGTAGAGTGTGGGTGCTCTTGATTATGACCTGCGCGACGAAGTGCTGTATATTGATGGGACACAGCGGGCAAGGGCGGCCGCCAAACGTGGAGAGGACAAGGAATGAAGCAACACCCTCAACGTTAGAGCGCACGAGCTTCGTAGTTATTCACGGCGGTGTAATACCCATAGGACGAAGACGCTGTCCGAGACTCCCATCAAACTTGACCACAGTGCTCGCAGATTCCTTGTGCTCTGACTCTTGAGTCGATATATGCCTAAGTTGCCGCTGGTGCGGTGGATACCTGTAACAGTTGCCGATCGATCATCGCATTTTGCTTACAATGCCCCAGCTTGACTCTACCACACTCCTTATCATACTCTGCTTTAACTCGCGAATCTTATTTATGAAAGCTTGATTGAGGAGAACCGAGGTCTGTTGTCACCATCGGAGTATCGCCTCAGATGACAAACAGTCAACGAAGTCGTCGCGGGGATATGACCGTGGCAAAACCGGGCAGGCGCACACAGTCAACACGCAGTGCGCATATACACATGCTACTTGCGAGATCGAAACCGCGCATTGCAGGTCCATACACGCCACTCAGAGCCTTGAGGGCCACAACAACACCGAAAGCGCTCCGAGGCTTCCATCAATTGCGAACACGAGGCTCGCATGTTCGGGCCGCAAGCATGCACTCGCGACTTGACCTCCTACCGCCACCACTTCCCTCGCCTTTGAAAGCGCAAGTGCGCTCACGCTCCGTCCATATTGCAGCATTGCTCCTTGGTACTCCATATCAGCGCGTCTCTGGTTCGCTGGCCGGCAACTCTTGGTGACACCGAGCATTGGCAGTGTCGCCGTGCGGTCCCGCACACACATTTCGAGATGATCGCCGCGCGGTTGCGCGGCCTCCGACTCGCACCCACTGCGCAGCTTAGTCTTGCATTGGCCCGAGTTCGAAGGCCCCAGCCTTGCGCATTGCGATACTCGAGCAGCAGCGGCGCCGTACCTATCTCCAACGCAAGGTGAACTTCGGCCGACCCTATATATTTCCTGCGCATGATCGAGCCGTCGCACTTACTCTACACACCGCTCGTATGCAGATCTGTCAACGCGCGGCCAAAGAATGCGGGAGCACACCGCTCCGGCAGAAGCTGCTCCTGCGGACGACAACTCTCCGCCCAGTGGTACACGGACGCTGAGAAAGATAAGGAACCCATGTGTGCGTTGAGTTGAAGTTGAGCAGCGGGCACTGAATAGCCCCGATACTGACCCATCTCTGGACGCGCAGGCATCCATTGTTACTACCGTCGCAGAGTACGTCTTCTCAGTCATCATAATATTATCTCAACACTCGTGACGCATAACGACCGGGGGGCGTTCTGTCACGCTTACCTATCCTCGTAGAGAGAGAGGGCCAATGCGGACGTCAAGGTCTCCTGCTTGGATTGCGGTACCGGGACCAGCTATTACTGGTATAAACACCCCGAATCCGGGAAGATTGGGAGATGTGAGCACCCCGCGCCTTCAACATCTCTACCCAAACTTGTACTGAATGATGGACACCGATCAAGGTAGCACGTGCTATAGACGCGACAGAGTGAGTGTAGTATGCGAGCGATCTAGATTCTGGCTTGTTCGTCCAGTATCGTGCGATCCGCCGCGAATTCGACCGCTCGGTGCTCATTGTAGACTGCTTGTTTTATGGGCGAGGAGACACGAGGTCGTTGGCAGGGCGTGCATGGATTGCGGAAAGGATCACTCCTCTACGTGGACGCGTGTTCCGAACCAGAAGGGGCACTACAGATGTACGGCCGCCCGTGACCTCTACATAAGCGAGTCACCCACTCACGTTCGCATCCACATTCAATAGGCAGGACGTGCTATCTGCGGGAGAACGTGAGCGGTCTCGCGTAGATGGTTAGTGATGATGTTGCGCCGCTCATTTTGACTTCGCGGAGCTAGAACAAGAGCGCGGTGTTCGTCGGCAGAAGCTGCGTTGAGTGTGGATCTGGCCATGAGAGAGGGGGGCCGTGGTACAGGCACCGTTCCTCTGACGGCAACTGGGATAATTCCTACATCTGTACGCCTCAGCGTTCTCGGAACGACTGTTTTGTGCTGAGTACAGCTTTAGGCAAGCCATGCTGGCGGCGACTGGATAGGGCTGTGAGTATCAAACGGGCGTACAAGAGTGATATTGTATGCTAGCTGATGACTATCCGTAGCGCAAGAGAAAGGCAAGGAGACACGAAGAGACCAGGGGGCACTTCGAGTCTGAGGACGCATGATCTTCGAAGGGCATCCAGCTCGACAAGGGCTTGAGTGCCTTCACCCGGTTTCAAGGCCCCGGAGAGAAGACATGTCGACATTTGGCGTCCGCTTGGGCATTCGGAGCGCACAATGCTACAGTACTGGAGCTATGCATGTAAACCCGGACCACCCCATATCACGAGTAAACAACTCCGAGAGCCGAATTGTCCGGCCACCCACTCAGTCGCTCATGCACGTTCGGCGCCACAGCGGTGTGGGAAGTGCGTACAGTCGTGAGGCGCGCTATAGTTCTGGCTGCATCTCCCTCGTAGATGGGTGTCGGTCAAGGCATGATATGCCGTATACGCCAGGTCGTGCTCTATGCAACGCCTCCTCGTCTTCCTCCGGGCTCACCAACAAGGACGGCGTGAGCGCTAAGTAAACCCTTATTCGAGACGTCCCGAAGCCATCACGGACCACACGCTCCGTTTGCTTTTGATACCCACGCTCTCTTGCTCTGACTGCCTTATTTCGGGAGTTAAGCACTTGCAGTCTGCAGTTGTGCGCCCGACTCTACCATACGATAGTAGACGCTAGACCGTCGTAGTCTGCGTACGATCGCTTGATCTTGCCTGATTATGTAACAATCTTCGTCACGCTCCTAGTATGTAGTCAGTCCGAATACTGCGTTTAGTGATAGCGCGTATGAGGCGCTCTCCAACCGGTATGTGGGTTTGATCCACGACAAACGTCAGAGGAATGTCAATGTCAGTTGTAATCGAGGCTGCTTACATAGTGCTGCGACTACGAGCGGCGATGCCTGACGCACGCAGTACTGCACGCGCCGTCAAGCCCAGTCCCCGCGCGTGCCAGCTGAACTTTCACGCGATGAACTCGGATGTGCTATTGGGCCACTTCCGCTTGTTGGCGCAGGCATCGGGCGGTCAGCGACGCGGGGCGCCCTTCCAGAGTTTCGCGCAGCACCGCGTAGGACGGGAAGACGCGACACGGAGGCGGTGGGCATCAAAGCGTCACCGCGTGAAGTAGCGAAGCCCAATTTACATAAAGGATTCCATCGAGAGTGCATAATGATCAAGGTCTTGGGCTTGATTGAACTGAGCTGAGATGAGTCGGGGCGCCGGATATGTGGTCGTTCCGGCTGTTCAAGTGTTTGAGCAAGCAGTATTGCGCGGGCCGGTGCGAGTGTGATGAATATGAGAGCAACGTAAAGTACAACAGATCGATAGCAAGTTCACAAAGCATTGGCAAGTCCTCGGCCATTCTTCAGTCGATGACGCCCAGGTGGTCCTCCTTGATAGTCCCAATAGCGAACTGCACAACAGACACACGCCCGTCAGCCCCATCCCCCCAGACAACAAATGCATGTATAGAATACGTACGATCTCGGTAGCGTCCACACGCGTCCCGACGATTTTTAGCCGAATTTTGGTTCCCTTTTCTATTGTCTGTGCGGGGGGTGTTCAGGATGTAATGGGAAGGGAGAGGGAGGGGAGAGTGAGACGCACTTGGTCTTCTGAGGCGAAGGCGGGCGGGTTCGCGTTGTGGTCGAATCTCAAGTCTGGGTGGATCAGCTGTATTGTGGTCGTGAGATTGAGGTGAGGATGGAGCAGGGCTGGAGCGCACCTGGTTTGAGACGAACACCGTCAACGGCCCCACATCCGCGAAGAACCCCATCTACATCACACATAAGCAGGTAGGACGTGTAGTAGAAGTTGGGCACACACCCTGGTGACATTATTAACGACCCCATCCACAACCTCGCCCTTAAACGGCTTGAACACGATCGCGCGGTACTTGGTGATAAACTCCGCCTGTCCGCTGCCGGGCAGCACCATGCCCGCGCCGATGTCGGATATAGACACGACGGCGATGATGTAGCCGAACTGGCCGGAGCAGGTGCCTTCGACGTCCGCGTAGAGCTTGGACTCGAGGAACTGGAGCATGCGCGGGCCGAAGTAGGAGGGGTGCAGGAGGATCGTGTGCGTTAGTTCTTTCTGTGTATGATATATTTAGTGTGTGATTGGGGGTGAGGAGAAGGAGGGACGCACGATGAAGAACATGGTGGGAGGGGGGACGGCGCGACGGGCCGTACGTGGAGGTGGAGGTGACTGTCCAAGCCAAACCAAAGCCAAGACGCGTCGACGCGCTCAGACGCGCTCGCGGCACCCCGGCCCGGAGAGTCGACATTGTATCTCTCCCCCGGACGCCCATGACGCTCTGTCGCCCATTACTATGCAGCACACACACCCTCACTCCCTTCCTGCACACCAGACTCGCATCCACATCTTCCTCATCCTCGCCGTACCCGTTCCCGCAAACACGCGACCCCTCGCCATGGCAGATCTTCCACCTCCAGCCCTCGGCCTCGCAGAGTGATATCAAAGCCCGATGTGTGCTTCTTCCATTTAATCAGCTCGAAGGAGATATACTAAATGAATGGGGTGTATAGATTATGCGCTAGTAAGACTGTACCACCCCGACTCGCCCTCCGCGCGCGCCCTCCCGCCCGACGTCGCGCACAGACGCTTCCAAGCCGTCCGCGCCGCGTACGATACACTCACCGGCAAAGCCCACCACCCCTCTTCTTCCCACTACCACCCCCACGGCTCTGCTCATACGCATGATTCGGACGACCTGTGGAGAGAGCTGGCTGCGCGACGGAGGCAGCAGGAGAGGAGGGAGGCGTATCGACGCGCGCATGGCGTTCCGGAATGGGACGCGGCGGGCGACGACGCGAGGAAGGATCGGATTTTGTTCGCTGTGGGGTGTCTCGTGCGTCTATCTTTCTTCCCCCACTCGTGCTGTCTATATATCATGCTCACGTGGGATGGGTAGGCTGTGGTAGTAGGCGTCGCGCCGGCCTTCGCGAACTGGACCGAGCACCGCGATGCCAAGCACCGGCTCGCGGCGGCGAACTTGACGGCTGCGAGGGGCGAGGCGCGGGAGTTTGCGGCTGCGAGGAGGGAGGGGATTCGGAGTCGGATGCACGAGGAGAAGGTCGCTGCTGCGAGGGCTGCCGCGGCGGGTAGAGAGGACGCGTGAGCGTGAGGAAGGAGGGAGGTGGATGTACGATTATACGTATTTGAATCTTTGCGGCGCGACACATCTCTACGCTTTGTACCATTGTACTATATCTCATCGTGTTCTTGCTCTCTGTACATTTTAATCCGTGACTTCCCGAGGCATATAGGCGCCCACGGCTACGATAGGGGCATCAAACCCGCGATAGACGCCCACACGCGCGCGCTCGATCTTATCTCGCCACCTCCCTCCAAGCTCGCCACCTCCATCGCGCATCCCATCATGTCCGCCTCGACCTGGTCCATCTCCTACCCCGACAAACAGAAGCTCATCAGCGCCGCCATAGCCGGTGCGCGCCACTACTCTCAATTGCGCACAAAACATCGGATTGAGCGAGATATGTTCTTCAGCGAAAGACGGCTCGTACAGCCCGTACTCCAAATTCCGCGTCGGCGCCGCCTTATTATCCGCAGACGGCCAGATAATAAAAGGCGCGAACATCGAGAACGCGTCGTACGGTGCGCTCCTTGCTCCCTCCATCCTCCCCTCGTTCTCCCCTCGTAAGTCTATGTGGTGATTGATAGTGGATGGGTGTAGGCGGGACTATATGCGCCGAGCGGACTGCGCTCGTTAAAGCCGTCGTGCGTGCTTTTGGCTTTTATACATGGATTTGGGTGGGAGATGCTGACCGTGTGCGTGTGTGGGTAGAGCGAGGGGACGAAGAGTTTCGTTGGGCTCGCAGTAACCAGGTCCGCCCTCTCCGTTTCTCTCTACCCGCCCTGCCCTACCTCAATCTCACGCATAACTCCATCTACAGCGACGTCGACGACGCGATATCCCCCTGCGGCATCTGCCGCCAAGTCATCCGCGAGTTCTGCGCGCTCAGCATGCCCATCTACCTCGTCCCGTCCTCCTACAGCCCCAATGCCTCAAACGCCGATGAAAGAGTGCTGGAGACGACCATCGATAAGCTGCTGCCGCATAGCTTTGGGCCGGAGCATTTGGAGCTGCCGAGGCCTGGTGGGGGGAAGTGATACAGGAGTGAGGAGTGAGGAGTGAGAGCTGGGATGTAGTTCGGGGCTTTCGATGGGGTGTTGTGGGTGAGGTACCCTCCGTTTTGTAGTAGAGATTATGACAGAACGAGTGTGACTGCGTCCTACTCAATCGTAGTGATATGCTGAACGACTATACGCGGTTCGGCAGAGCTGTGGCACTTGATGTGCATGAATTGAAGGGTGAACGAATGACGTAGGGATTCGTGCATCCGTGATGGCCACAGTACACTCGGTGCTGCAGCAGCAAGACCATACAAGCTCGATGACAACGGCAAGTCTACATACAGCAGACAAAACACCGCATCGGCCGCGGACTTTCGGCCCATGTATAGCCTGCTGCGCGCGCCCGCTCCTTCGCTCCCGCTCGCTCGGACGCGAGCGCGCCGACTGTCAATGTCACTTCCTGACGTGCTGCGCATTACTCGATCGAGGCCCGATCATCGACCACTTCCGAGTTGAATGTATTCCGCAGTTCAGGATAGAATATAGGGATGGGTGTAGGCTATGCGTAGACAAGACAAAGCATGGTGGTCTATAGTCTACTACGGACACCGACCGCTCCAGCGGCAGAGAGAGCAAGATTGCTACTTAGAGAACAGAGTGGCAAGATCGACGAGAGCTTGTAAGTGGTAAGAACGCGACGGCTCCAGGACATCGCGAGGGCCGCGCTTGCGCGGCGATAGAAGGGGCAACAGTTCGCGCGCAAGCGCGCGTCACGGTCGGAATAGGAACAGGTATCATTTGAGTCGAGTCGTAAGCGTCCATAGCTTACGAGATGTAGTACTTGCCGAGGTCAGTGAGCGAGGTGCCGTCCGAGCTGATCATGGCGTTGAGACCGTTGAGGTCGTTCGACTCGAGCTCGGAGGAGGTCATCGGGGCTAGATCGACCAGTTCAGCCGACAATTACAGTGAGGGAGGTTGCGAAGAAGAACATACCGAAGTAGAAGTACGCAGCGATATAGTCCTGCGCCTCAAGCCACGCCTTCGTCTGCTCCATAAACGTCCAGATCTCGTCCGTCGTCGCCTGCTGATCGTTCCCCGAGTAATCCTGGCACGAGTACTCCGTGATCATCACCGGCGCGTAGTCGAAGTCGGCCGAGTAGTAGCTCGCGGCGACCGTCTCGAACGACGAGACGGACGTCGTGTAGATGTGGCCGGCCGTGTAGTCCCAGGTGCAGTCCGCGCCTGCGGCGTTGCAGGCCGTCTTGAAGTTTTGCAGCCAGGTCGGGCCCGTGGCGGGCGCGGCGGAGATCACTTTGTAGCCTTCGGAGCGGAGGGGGGCCATGTAGGTCGTCCACATCGCGACGGCGTCGGTCGCGGCGATGTTGGATTGCGAGGAGATGTCGGGCCTGGATGGTAGACGTCAGAATGTGCGTGACGATAGATCGTGTAGAGTCACGCACTCGTTCAGGAAGGCGGCGTATTGGGCGTATCCTTTGACGACCGTAGACTTGAACGACGCAGCGTTCTTCCATCCCCAGAGCATAGGGATAAAGTTCAGACCCTCAGTAGTCATACCGTACTGCAGCGACTCCTCCCAGTCGTAGATCCTAGTTTAGACACAGCGTGAGAACTCGAGGTCCGCATCCGCAGTCCAGCGGAAGCGAAACATACCAGGCAACATTGCTGTTGGTGAAGTCGGGGATAAGATCCGCCTCGTGGTTCGACCAGGCGAGACCGACTTTGCCGGAGCCGGAGGAGGAGGTGGCGCTGCTCGAGGATGCAGCAGCGGAGGATGAGGTCGTGGAGGCCTTCTTGGTCGAGGTGGTAGCAGCAGAGGCTTTGGAAGTCGTAGCTGTAGCCTTGGTAGAGGTCGTAGCAGTGGCCGCCTTGGTGCTGGTAGAGGCCGCCGCCGACGTTGCTGCTGCATGAGCTGCGGTTGTGGAACTGGACGCCGCGCAGCGCTTCGAGATACCGCGCTTTCGGGAAGAGTTGTGAGCGACTTCGCCGTGACGCTTGGCCTGGTCGTGGTTGTCGCTGAACGAGCGAGCGACACGGCGGTGGGCTGCGTCAGAGCCGGACGATGCCGAGACGAAGACGGCGAGCGAGGAGAGAGCGAGGAGGGAGAGAAGGCGGGCCATTTGGGTGTCGAAGTCGAGTCGTGCGGGGAGAAACGAACGAGTGTGTTTCAGAGGAGAGAAGAGAGTGTGAGTGCGACTCTGGGTAGAGATCGCAGGCGACGACAACGACAGGCGAGGGGATGGATGCGGGAGGTGGCTATTTTGGAGGCTGCTCTTTTAACCTCGAGCTGCGGATCCGCTTAGCGCCCGCAGGTACACTGGAACGAGATCCATGTAAGTAAGTATATTTATCACGACGTATAAATGTCACTTCCCACGATGAGCCAATGGAAAGAAGGGATGCATTCCGCAGCACGTTCCCCGGCTTTCCTAATCGAGATCGTCCTGCGACGACCTGCGACGACCGCTTCAGCGCCGCGTCCTTGAGCTTGTCAAAGCCAGTCTCCAGAGGGCCATCATGCATCACCGGCGCCCTTCAACGACCGGCTTTCGACCTCACCAGCAGCGCATCGTTGCTTAGCGGGAGTGGATGAGCGCCCGACTGTGAAAGATGTGAAAGGCACACTGTTCTTTGCTATGTTGATGGCCTCCCGCGGACCTAGACTGCGCAGTTTGAGCTGTCGTCCTTGACGTCCTCCGCTCCGCCTCCAACGGATCCTCGGCTGTGCCTTACAGCAAACCGACGACGATGGCACATAGAGCGCGCTTATTGTTACTATCAAGTCGTCGGTGACGCTCTCCCCGACACTCTTCGCAACACCACCGGAGATAGAGCCCACGGCGCATTCGCGAGAACCGACGTCACTCTTGAGATTGTCAAGAGCGGGTTCCGCAGCAGCCGCAGCGGTACCGTCCGCCATACCGGAGATCGTAGCGCCTACAGAGCAACGCTGCTGTGCGTCGTTGTGTAAGAACGATCCGGGCTGTGAGAATACAAGCTTGGCGCCGCTGACAGGGTTCGAGACGCGGAAGGAGAGCGTGTTGATATCGCGGGGCAGAGGACCGACGTCGTCCTTGACGCATGATGTCTTGACCATCGGCAAACGCGCCCTCACCCGCGCCTTGATTGTCGCAGACGCGCGTTGCTCGATACTCCAAGGCCTAGGCATAGTGTCAGCGACGACAACCATACATGAAACCAGTGATGCGCACTTCAGGCTTCCTTGACGTTGCCGAATCCGGCCTGTGCTGGCACCCTTGAGCTGACCCGCAGCACGCTTCTCCGCTCGAGTCCCTGGAGTATCAACGACGGACGCCGTGAGGTAGAAGAGAGCTTTAACGTCGGCGGTGTTGGCGCGTATAGCAGTCGAGGTCGTAAGTGGTCCGTGGTGCCAAAAAGGCCAGGGTGAGGGAGACGAAGTGCAAGGGTCTGAGCTCGTGTGTGGCGGACCAGTGGCGGGCTGGGCATGTTAGAGCTCATGAGGCTGATCAGAAGACCGTATCTATTATCTGTCGCAATGCAGGTTCTCTCAGTACGCATGACTATCGCGTCTGCTGCCAAAACGGCCAAGCAGAAGCTGAAAGATGCACTAGTGGACAATGACAAGGACGTAGGTTCGCGACCGTTATGAGTATGTCCGAAGCATCAGCGGGTAGATATCGTGTTATCGTAGCTCCAATTGCCAATATGAGTGACATTGTATGCGACGGGTGAGATGCAGGAACGTAACGGTTCGAGCGTGAATGGGTACACTCCGCGAGGCGGGCTGAGGCGGGTTGTCAATCAGGAAAAGGGAAACCGTATGTTTATGGCAGGGAGTGGCAAATACAAATGTATAGTGAGTTCATGCTGGGGATTATAAGGTGTTTGCATTAGATACTGCATGGAGCAAGCATGGAATGGGTGATGTGAACGCGGTGGAGGAGGGAGGCAAGGTTCGTGGCGAGAGTCAAGACGCGGGAAATTCCGGGCTGGTGAACGCGGTCACATGAAGGACGTCATGCGCAGCTCTATCGCGTCGCGACGTCGCGTCGTGGTTGTTGCTTGCTTGCTGCCACGACGGGTGCATTATGTCTGCTCCCAGTACATCCGAATCATCAAGTACTCTATCTATCTGTATATCACGACTTGATGCCGCGAAAGAGGCCTACGTCAAGGCCCACGACGCGTTCCAAGCTATCAAGGGTTCCTTAGATAGGGCCGACGATGAGCTCTTCGATCAGCGGGCCAAAGAGCAAGACGCTCAACTGCTGCGTTCGCTTGGAACCATCTGCGACGTCGCACGCTTTGCCTCTCAGCCCGGTCAGCTTCTTTCCGAGGACCTTAGCCAACTCGTGGAGCGCGCAGCCAAGGTCGAGAACTCTATAATGCAGCTCTCCTACGGCGAGGATCCTGAGGGCAACTCGCACATGGCGTGCGGAAATGTTCTCAAGGACAAAGCGACGGCGTCTTTGGGAGGTAGTATGGGTATGTGAACCTATACTTTATGGGGTGGTTTACAAGCAGTGCCACAGTCGTACAGGTATTGGCAGCGCCAAGTCTATGCTGCCGTTCTTCATGACTATTGCTACTGGGCCTGTCAACGAGAAAGGCACGCGCACTGTTCTCGCATCTTCAACATCGTGTCTTACCCTGCCATTGCAGATCTTAAAGCTAAGATGCTCGGTTACGCTGCGACGCCTCACAAAGACACGCCCAAGCCAAGTCTCTATACGTCCCCTCTCGCACGCTTCGGCATCAACCCGGTGATACCTGGTCCCGATGCATCTCCCGCCACAGTCGCATTTGCAGAAGCGCGATGCGAGGTACAATCCAACGAAATAGCACGTCCGTCGACACTGCGCCTCGCGGGCAACGCTCTCGTAGTCCTCGGCGCAAGCGGTTGGAAGGAGCAGTCAGGCATGGTGTCCATACGGGATCTATCTTCTGGAGACGACCGCGACTTCTTTTACAAGAAGAGGACGTACAATCTCGGTAGCCGTGGTGGCAACGAGCTCGTGGTGGATGACTCGCGCAAACTCGTCTATAATGACGGCCGTAAGGTTATCAACGCGTGCAGCTATGGAGAGCAGAAGAAGACGAAGGGAGAGGATGCGGCGATGTATCAAGGGGAAGGCCCAGGTGCTCCCACGGAGAAGAGCGCAAATGCGTTGGGCAATGCCAGTTCAGACGAAGATTCGGATATGGACTCGGACGACGACGATATGTACCTCGACGGGAGGGATGGAAGGGAGGACCTGGCATTCTCGCTCAAGTCCAACGGCTACGAAGGCGTACTTGGTCTTGCTGACGGCGGTGCGAAGATATTGCGTATCGGTGGGAAGGGCTTGGGAATCTGGGATGTCCCTCAACGTGGAAAGACGGCCGGCTTCACCAGTCTAGACTCTCAAGCATTCTCGGATGTCGATGTCATGGAGGAACATCCGTCAATTGCGCAACAGCGTCTCATGGCGACCTTCAAGGGCTCTTACTACGTCTCTTCGGTGGACATCGAGACTGGACGGGTAGCAGCACGCTATGTCGGCCACAACCGAGAAGTCACTACGTTTGCGTCGAGCAAAGAGGATCCACATGGCTTCATCACCGCGAGCTCCGATGGCGGCGTGCGCTTCTACGACTCCCGACTACCGGCTCCGATTTACGCTATTGAGCACTCTCATGCAGAGGACTTACAGTCGGTCTTGTATGAGCATATCGGAGGTTACCCTTGTGAGTCCTACATGATTTATATGATACCCAGTCATTGACTATGTATACAGTCATCATCATTGGCGGGTTCAAGACACAACAGGTGAAGATATGGGATGCAAGGGGACGTGCCCCTCTGTACGCACTCAGCACAGGCAACAACAATGTCCAAGGGTTGGCTTGGGATGGAGAGCGGAACCAGTTATTTGCCGCGACGGCTTGCTCGTATCGTGGACGTGATGGCACGGCTTACGATTACCGGCGAGCCAATTTTGGTGATCGAAGAAGCGACAAGGCGTGGCCGCAGCAAGCCTATCATGACGAGGAGAGCTTTGGCTACCCCTTTGACTGTGGTTCTCATCGACTTCGTGAGTACTCGACGCATCATTCTGCCGCCTAGACACGTGCTCAATGCGCATTGATTATACAGTGCGCTACCGTCTCACGTCCGAACCTGACGCCAGGTTTCTTCCTGTGTACGGAGACGCGGAACCGGAGCGAGGCGGTGGTGGTGGAGGTTTCGGCGGATTCGGAGGGATGTTCGGGTTTTGATCGATCCGTGTGCGCTTCCTTCATGAGGACTTCATCGGCGATACTTACGCTTATCTGTCAGCTCATCTACTCGATATCTTCTGAATCATCAAGTGTACTTGTATTCAATGTATGAATCGCGTGTAACATTCAACATAACAAGCGCCTGTGCCCTATGTAACAAAGTCTCATTGCAGCGGCGGAACTCACGTGGGCGCGTTATATCCGCGATTATATCCGGTTCCGTGCGCAGCCCAGAAGTACATAGGCCCAGGTGCTCTTTGATCTTTACCACCATCTACTTCTCCGGCCAGCGAGGCATCAGCGAGTTCCGCAACTGGCCATTTCTCCTAAGGTCCCTTCTTGCTCGAACGCATACGAGTAAAAAGCTAGGTCAAGATGCCGCGCCGACCACATTCACGCTACACCCATGAAACTTCGATCACGCCCAGCTCTCCCCACTACTCTATGGGGCAGAAGCAGCGCGACGTCTCCCTGAAGTACTATCACTACCTACGAGCGGCTATCACAAATAGCTATGACTTTACAACCGTACCTCCCGACCTATCTCGCGGACAGCTCTTCGAACGACAAGGCGTGCTGTTCGATCGGTACACGGACTACACGCTCGAGCCGATCCTGGGCGTGAAGCTTCAGCCTCGCGATGACGGTACATTCCACCCGACAGACCTGGACCTGGAGGTCAAGTTCTTTCAGCTGAACTGGAAGACGAGGGAGGGAGGCGTTCTGCGATATATCGATGAGGAACGGGGGTTTTGGACGCTGATCCTGAACTACAACGCAACGTTCCCGCAAACCACGGGTTGGGCGGCGCTGGATAGGCTGTTTGCGAGACTGAAGGCGAACGACTTCGATAAGGGCTCTATAACCTGTCAGGTGTGTATCGCTGCTCATATACGCTTCTGGAGTAGTGCTCGAGAGTTGACGTCTCCCGCAGTTCTTTGCTCGCGAATCGGGCTGTCTGGATCCGGAGTGCCCGTTCCGACATAACAAGGACAGCGCTCTGCGCGATCGCGAGAAGATCCTCACCGCCAGGCGCAACGCTCTGAATCGCCCGAGCTCTCTCGCTCTCCGAGAGTACCAACAGCGTGAAATCAAAGCGCTGTTGAGGAGAACGGGCATGACCATGAATGAGCTTCTCGGCATGAATGACGATGGCGACCTCGAGGACGACGACGATGGTGACGGACCGTTGCATCCAGAGCACCAAAAGATACTCGACGACTCTCATCGCATACGCGCTATATGTGAGAACACTGGCTGTACCAATCTCATGTGGAAGGGCGAGGGAGATACTACAGAGATGGCGAAGTGCGCCAAGTGTAAAGCAGTGCGTTACTGCTCGGTATGTGGTATTGTATGTTGGATGTACTACAATGCTCACGTATGCCGTCAGCGCGAATGTCAAACGGCAGATTGGCAGGCACACAAGCCGACATGCATCCCTTTTGATGATCTCGTCGATGATGATGACAACTGGACCTCTTTTGGAGAGAGGGTTGGTACCACGGCATTCTAGAGTGTTTTGGATTACTTCACATGCATGCTGATTGGATCAGACGCGCCGAGACATTGAAAGCTACTTTCCCGAGTAGCCGCTCGGACACGCGCCGTACGTCAACCGCTTTCTGGTGAACTGTGTCGGTCATCACGCGTCTGTCGGTTTGGATCAAGTGCTGCATCAATGTATCCTTACGATTAGGCTATCTTGACATACATGAAAGCTACTTCACCAAAGAGCATGCGAGACTAACTCAGGTAGCTTCAGCAAACGAACGATCGATCAAGCCTTTGCATCCCATCGGAACACGGGCGTCTGAACTCACGGAACTCACGTGGGCGCGTCATGTATGCATATCCGGCATATGCTCGCCACGACTTGTATCCTGATTTGACCGTACGATGCACTCGCGCCCGTTGTATTCACCCCATCATCAGTGCTTAGAGTCTACACTTGAGCCTAACTCCAGCGCCACAACTCAGTCAGTTCAACACCGGTCTCTTCACTCCCCTCCAACACTCACACGCGCCTCGCGCAGCATAAATGTCAGACCGGCGTCCTCAAGCGCGTTACATCCACAACACCTCCGTATCTCCTACGCACCAACGTAGTCTGTATGAACTGGGTCAAAAACAACGCGCTCTATCCTTACAGCGCTTCCATTACCTGCGCGCGGCGGTCACAAACAGCTATAGATTCGTCAGTGTAACGCAGCCCTACCCTCTGAGCGAGCGGCACGACGTCCGCTTCGACCTCGACGACGCGTACCCGGACTACCCGCTTGATCCAATCAAGGGCGTCAAGCTACGTCCCGGCGCCGATGGTACCTTCCACGCGGTGGACCTCGAAGCGGCGGTCAGGTACTTCGAGGGGAACTGGAAAACGCGCGAGGGCGGGGTGTTGTACTGCGTTGGAGAGACGCGCGAGTTCTGGACGATGATTCTGAGCTACAACGCTACGTTTCCGCCGACTACGGGGTGGGATAAGTTCGATAAGCTGTTTGCGAAGCTCAAGACGAAGGGCTTCAAGCAGGGTTTGATCAACTGCATGGTATGTGTGGGCGCTCTCATCTACATTTACGCATGATGACCAAGAGATTTGCTCAGTTTTTCGCCCGCGAGTCGGGATGTTTGGATCCGCAGTGTCCGTTCCGACACGATGCGTCCAAAGCGATGCAAGACCGCGAGAAGGTGCTTAAGGCCCGACGAGACGCTCTGAAGCGGCCCAGCTCGCGCGCCATCCGTGTATACCAGAAACGCGAGATCGACCGACTTCTTCGACGGACTGGAATGACCAAGAACGAGTTGCTGGGTATGGACGATGAAGGTCACTTTCTGGACGGAGATGGTGACGGGCCGTTGCATCCCGAGCACCAGAAGATCCTTGACGACTCTACGTGTCTCCGAGCTATTTGCGAGAACGCCGACTGCGACAGCTCTACGTGGAAGAAGGATGAGGACGCTGATATGGCTAAGGGTGCGAGATGCAAGGCCGCGTATTACTGTTCGGTGCGTCGCGTAGCAGCATCTTGCATCATCCAGTATACGTGAACGAATGTCCTCCTCAGCGTCTCTGCCAGAAAGCGGACTGGAAGGCGCACAAGGCAAACTGCGTTCTTTATGAAGATCTCGTGGACAATGATGATCACTGGGATGAATTCGGAGAGCGCAAGGTTATTACGGGGGCATTGTGAGTTCCGTGTGTTCGTCCGAGGTCGCATAACCGACACTGCCCTTATCAGCGCGCGACAGATCAGTGTAAGGGCATAAAAGCAGAGGAGTATCAGGACTTATAGGCTTGAAAGCTTCATGTAGCGGGACTTGTATGATTATCTCTCTTCCATCATCCTGTGAGACCGAGCTAGTCTGAGCCGTTAATCGCGATGTCTCCGGACGGCCACGGATAGGACTTGCCATCCTTCTCTGCCAGTACAAGCCTCTCATGTTTTGAGCTTTCTGAGACTCTCGTAGAGGGCTGTAGTCAAGCGGGAAGGTGGTGTTCGCAGTCGACGCGCGCGTCGGACGTTCTCGAGAATTCCAGCGAACTCGCGTGACCGCGTCGCGGCTACAAAACCGGCGCGGGCCGACGCGCGACGCGTCTTCCCCGCCACAACCCCTAATGCTCTCGACGACCAACTCAGCAGCAGCAGCGCGTCTACCACTCCTCAGATCACCACACCTCTGGCGCGCAAGCACAGCAGCCGCGCGTAACGCCGAAGCGCGCCATGCCATAGCGTCGGCGTTAACACTTGGCGTAGGACGCGGGCAGAGCGTACGCGGGTACGCTGTTAATCCGCCAAATGGAGGAGGTGGGAATAATGGAGGGGGAGGAATGGGACCGTTTGGGTTTCCTGGGATGAGGATGGCGCCGGAGGGTGGGAAGGGCGAGGCGTTGAAGGAGTACAGCGTGGACTTGACGGAGATGGCGAAGGAGGGGAAGCTGGATCCCGTCATTGGCCGTGACGAAGGTATGTCTACACTATTTCACAACACGTGATTTGTACTCATAAAGAGTACAGAAATACGCCGTACCATTCAAATCTTATCCAGGAGAACAAAGTCGAACCCGGTCCTCATCGGCCCGCCCGGTGTCGGCAAGACGGCGATCCTGGAGGGTCTCGCCTCGCGCATCGTATCCAAAGAAGTGCCCGAGTCCTTGCACAACAAGCGCGTGCTTGCCATTGACTTGTCGGCGATTATGGCTGGCTCGGGTATACGCGGACAGTTCGAGGAGAAGTTCAAGGCGCTCGTGAAGGATATCGAGGAGCAGGCGGGCGAGGTTATCTGCTTCATTGACGAGCTACGTGAGTCATGATTATGTCATTCTACTCTAAACATTTTTCTGACACTGTATTCAGACACACTATTCCAGCTTGGCAAGGCAGAGGGCAGCATCGATGCAGGTCAAATGATCAAACCCGCACTGGCTCGCGGTCTACAGCTCGTAGGCGCCACAACGCGTACGCCCTTCCCTCCGCCACTATCACACTCTAAAATACTAAGTGCAATGTGAACCAGCCGACGAATACCGCAAAACAATAGCCAAAGACGCCGCCCTCGAGCGCCGCTTCCAGCCCGTCTCGATCGAGCAGCCCTCAGTAGAAGCGACAATCTCCATCCTCCGCGGCCTCAAACCCCGGTACGAAGTCCACCACGGAGTTGAGATCTCCGACGGTGCACTGGTCACGGCGGCTGTATACAGCGACCGCTACGTCAGCGACAGGTTCTTGCCGGATAAAGCTATCGATCTTGTCGACGAAGCCGCATCGTCGTTGCGTCTGGCTCAGGAGTCTAAACCCGACGAGCTGGAACGGTTGGAAAGGCAGATTATGACGCTGCAGATTGAGCTTGAGTCGCTGAAGAATGAGACGGACGTGTTCTCGCTTGAGAGGAAGCAGTCTGTCGATAAGGAGCTGGAGGAAAAGAGGAAAGAGGCGGATAGGCTTACGAAGGTCTGGCAAGAGGGTAAGTTCTCTCCTTTTCTGCGACTCGGAATAGTGTCGCTGAATGATAACACAGAACGCGCCCGCCTCGAACGAGCCAAGAACCTCAAAAAGACGCTCGAAGACACGCGGCACCAACTCGAAGTGGCGCAACGCGAAGGCAACTACGAGCTCGCATCTCGCCTGCGATTCAGCACCATCCCCGAACTTGAACGCCAACTACCTGAGAACGAGCATACTGCCGCCTCAGAAGAAGAGAGCGGGACGATGCTACACGACCGTGTCACTTCGAACGATATCGCGCGTGTGGTGGCGAAAGCGACGGGTATACCCGTGCAGAACTTGTTGAAGGGCGAACGGGATAAACTTGTACATGTACGTCTCTTTCCATCCTATGCCGTTCATTAACATGCTGATCTTTGCCTGCGCATCGTTAGATGGAAGACGTCCTCCGCTCACGCGTCGTCGGCCAAGACCACGTCGTGCACTCCATATCCGACGCAGTCCGCATATCCCGCGCGGGCCTTCAAGCGCCCAACCGGCCCGTCGCCTCCTTCCTCTTCCTCGGCCCCACAGGCGTAGGCAAGACCGAGCTCTGCAAAGCGCTCGCGGGATTCCTGTTCGACGACGAACAGCGCGGGCTGATTACGATCAATATGTCCGAGTATCATGACCGGCATACGATCTCGCGGTTGATTGGGGCCGCGCCGGGGTATGTCGGGTTCGAGGAGGGCGGGCAGTTGACGGAGGCTGTTAGGCGGAAACCGTATGCTGTGATTCTACTGGACGAGTTGGAGAAGGCGCACAAGGACGTGGCGATGATCCTCCTCCAAATCCTCGACGAGGGGTCCGTGACGGACAGCCAAGGCCGCAAAGTGAACTTCAAAAACACGATCATCTGCCTCACGTCCAACCTCGGCTCCGACATCCTCGCGCACCCCACCGCATCCGACGCAGACGGCAAAGTCACGCCCGAGGCCCAGCGCGAGGTCCTCGAGCGCACGCAGGAGTACTTCCCGCCTGAGCTGCTCAACAGGCTGGACTCGATGCTGGTGTTCAACAAGCTCTCGCGGCAGTCTATACTGTCTATCGTCGATCTGCGCTTGAACGACGTCGCGGATCGGTTGAAGCAGAGGCGCATCACGCTCGATGCGGATGAGGGCGCTAAGAGCTGGTTGGCGGAGCATGGGTACAGCGATATGTATGGCGCGCGGGCTATTGCGAGGGTGGTCCGCTCGCATGTGTTGTTCCCGCTCGCGCAGAAGCTGCTTTCTGGCACCATCAGGGATGGTGATGTTGTCAGGATCAGGAGGAGCGATGATGGGAAGGAGTTGGTTGTGGAGGAGAATCATGAGGCCGATGCGGGCGGGAGTGCGGTTGAGGAAGCGCCCGTCGCCGGTGCGGTTGCTTGATCCACCACTTTGTTTGACCCATGCTTGTATCCGAGGAATGCTTTCGTTGCTACTGTACCATCACTCTATACTCATTGCTTAGTCTTGCTTTTTCGTCATAGACATCATGTGCTTCACTCACACTACTCATTGCTGCATTATCCCTCGCATACTCGCCCATTTCTGGATTCGGTCCACTGTACATCACTATCTGCATGTTATGGACACACTACTCATCTCAACATCACAGTACGAAACGAGGGGAGTGCCGATTTGAACGACATGATCTGATCACACGCTTCGGGCCATGCCTCGACCAGGCCTCGACCATCCTGCTGCTGCTTTAAGCTTCATGGGTAACTAGCTTTACCTCTCCGCAAGAATCCGAAACTCCATCATGAACAGCATCATTGGTCGAGTGCGACGAGCCAGCGTGGATGTCCGCGTCGCGCCCAGCGTCCGCCTCGATGATAATAGTCAGGGCAGCCGTGTGTGGTCGGACCGGAGACAAAGAAGAGTGGCTCAGGAGTTGCGGGCCTCGTGAATGGTGGATCTTGTCCAACACCACGAGAATGAAGATGGAGAGAGGGTAGATGGACTATGTAGCGCTAGATGAGCACAGAGAGTGGGGAGATCCCTATGAAGAACGTACGGTAATCTGGGCCATCGCTGCGTTGAGGTGGTCAACGGTGGATGCGAAGGAGAACACGATACCGTCTCCGACGGCTTCATACACGTAGTCGACCGTGATACGCTTGAAGTAGCTGGTGCAGTATAAGACCTGGGCAATGTATCAGAATATGTCCTTCGGCCGTACGCTCATGCTGACCCATATGGCGGTATAGACCACGCCTGAGTCCACCAGGAGTTCCATCACTCGGATAGTGAGCGAACGCCGACCGTGCGATTGTGCGAACTCTGACATCTGTCTTCTGTGGAGCCTGAGCCAATCTCAGCCATGAACCTCTCAACCGACGCTGAGGTGAACAGACATACCACACTTTGAATCCGACGAGCGTAGTCGCGCAGATGTTGCTGGCTAGGGACATAAAGACTGCTGCGAGGCCAACGGGGCTTTGGCCATAGATCTCGACGATGTTCTCGTAGTCGGTGCTGCCTGGAGTTCCCCAAGAAGTATGTAGAATCGCGGTGTCGATGATGTTTACGAGATTCAGTCCGATTGTCGCGATGATCAGTGCCGCGCTTAGTCTGAGAATCGAGCGCTTCCTGTCCCACACTGCGCACACGCGCCAAAGAACGACGATGTCGCTCATGACGACCTGATTCGAGGTTAGCGCCTCTAATCCTTCATTCGGACGAAGGAATACTATTGTTACATTGATCGTCAAGAGCACCAGCAACACTGTCACTGGGGGCATTCGCCAGTAGTCGCACGGATTATAGATAAGTTAAATCCGGATGAGATTACTCCTGCCCTCTGAGCATTATCAGAGAGTATACCAGAA